GATTGAGGTTCCCCTCCCCAGCAGTCTTGCTACTGGTGATGCAGTAGCAAGTTTTCCCTTGCAGTTCTTTTTGATCGGATTATCCGTAGCACACCTCTTATGCATTCCACATCTCTGCAATTATTCATTTTTTGCCATCTCTTCATCTCCCAGAATTTTTCGAGTGGTTTGGTTCACTGAAGTAAATGAATGATTTCTTAAGGTAAACTGAGTGAAAGATCATATTCAAAGTAAACATAAAAATAGATGTGCCTACCTAAGGCACCTGGACATCTAAATTCTATTGACAGCAGTGAGGTCCTAGACAATATTAGTGCAGATTTAAGACACCTGCTTTAGTCAACCCATCTTCACTTGGCACTGAACTGGTCTGTGAACACTCACACACAGTCATGACAGACTTTTAGAGCTGGTGACCTCTAGTAAGGAGCAGTATTGAACAATCAAATGTGACAAGGTCTTAATATGTCATAAGTAGGTTTGCAAATATATGTCTATTTGTGCCCTGAGGTTTATCAGCTACTTTGCTTGCAAGCTTTCATGGGTATTTGTTTTCCTTTTTAATTGCCTAAAAGTTTCAATAAATCTGACTCCACGTTCATTACTAATATGATATGCCATGCACATAGCAAACAAATAGAAGATATTTTTTCTCCCTGCTATACTTGAAGCTTGGTACTTGCAGGACACGTGAATGAATATACATACTTCAGTGATCATATGAAGAAGCCTCAAATACAGTAAATCAGAGGTAGCAGAAAATACTAAAATAAAAAAAAAAAAAGGAAAATGTTCCTTGTTGGGTCTCCTTATTTAGACCATCTAATCACTGCTAATATATCAATCCCAACTCTTTTACCTACTTAACTGAGTCAATGCCGATGCACTGTGTAGACCATATGTGTAAATCTTTAAAGTTGCTATTCCTCAATTATGTAACTCTACCAATTTTATTAATGTATTCTATGGAGAATCTGCAAATCCAAGATTACTGTAACATCACTATTTTGCCATTGCCAGATTGCTGGAGACCTATGTATTTAAATAAAGTCCATGAACTTTAATAAGACCAAATATTCCTTTTTCCTTTGTGCTTCTTATTCACACATTAAGGCATTGCAAGCAAGCTGGAAACTCTGCTTGTGAAGAAGGGGATTGCACACCACTTCACAAATGTGAATGTAATAGACAATGGGGACGGCAGAAGGAGACATGGAGAACACTGTCTAGCAAACCATTCCTCTTCTGCAAGGGCAGAATTTGAGTGACGGGATCTCTGTCCTACCTTAAGTTCTGTTCATAAAGTACCATGTAACACTCGAGTCCACTGGCAGGCAGTTCTTCAGTGATTTAACTCTGTTATTTACAATGGTGTTGAACTCTGTCTTACCCTGCAAATAAATGCAATGCTTTACCTGCTTAAAATTAAATGTGTATTAGTTCTTGCTAGATCAGGGCCAGGAGAGTCAGCACACAGATCTAATACCTGCTGTCACTACTTACAATAAATTTATCTTATCTTTTTGAGGGTTTGTTGTGTTGTGGTTTTTTTTTCCTTATGTTTTCAAATTTCTTAATTGGTTCATGGCTCTCCTGCAGTTCCACCACAGGGAAGTTTGTGTTGTCACGTTTGGAGGGATGAGTATTAGTCTGACAAGTCACCCTGCAGGCCTCGTGATACTTCCTTATTCTCCATTTGTCATGAGTTAGATGTTTGAAGATAATGTCAAACAAAGTAGCATATTTAATTTCCCTTCAGGAGCAGAGGATTTATTTAAAATAAAGCTCTAATTCTCCTCATCAAAACCTGCACGATCCCTTTCCTGTTTCCACAGCTAATCTCGAACTGGGCTAGCTGCAGGATTTTCCTAATTTTAAGGTAAGTTGTTTTCATTGCAACTGTGTGATTTTGGCATAACTGTAAAGGTCTCTCAATATTGAAAAGCTAACCTGATTTCATTACTGTTGGGTGTATTTTAAAATTATTTCTTTGCATTGATATTACTACTGAAGTGAAGTATTTTTAGATGAAAGAAAAGGAGCTTAGGATACATTATCATTAAGTGTAGCTTCCTATCTGAGGATTAAGTGGCACTGGGACAGTTTTATTTTGCCATAATTAAGGGTGAAAAAGTTAATTATTCCTATTTTAATATATCTCCATATTGACTAATAGAGGCTTTCCTTTAGTGGTCACTTTAGTGTGGAAATTTTAAGCTGAAATTTAAAAAAAAAAAAAAAAAGAAAAAGCTGTTGGTAAAGGGCAAAAAGGATTATATTTTTATAGGAGGAAGATGGACTGTAACAACAACTTGCTGGAACTGTAGAACAAACACCGGGTTAGCTAGGGCAAGAACAGAAAACCAGAGCAAGAACAGGAATTGGAAAGAGAAAAACTATTTAAGATAACTTATCATTTCAGGTGCTCTCTCTCTGGTTGATTTGGCTTCCTAAAGTAGCTGCTTATTGTTTATTATTCTGGATCTTCTTTAGACCAGTTTGTACAGCAAGGGCACAGATGTGTATTTCTGAGCAGGTCAGGGTGTCCGTAATTCCTCCTCTGATCCCCTCATTGTTATGTACAGGCTGTAATGTATGGTTGTCCTATATTCCAGCGGCACACTCCTGTCCTTTCTGCAGCATGTCACCTCTTGCAGCCAGAGGGGTGTTGGCACTGCTTTGGCTCTGTCATTCTCAGCCTCTGTGCCTGCCTTCCTCTGAGCGGGAGGAGGGGTGCAGGCTTGGCCGCTTCATTCTCTGAGTGTTATTCACAGAAGCTAAAGGGAGGAAAGGTCCTTCCTTTCCCCATGTCTCCATGAGGTTTTCTTTGCTCACATTTCCAAGATAACAGCATACCTAAACATTTTTTGTTTGTTTGCTTGTTTGTTTTAAATGGTTTGTTTCTCTCTCCTTAGGGACATACAGGACACTTGCTCTGGCTACTTCCTTGATTTTCTAATGCCTTATCTATCCGTTTTTATGTGTCTCCTGCTGTTTCTTTCATTTTCAGAGACACGGTTTCATCCTTCAGTGTCACCTCTGGTGGTTTGCTGTATCAATCCTCAGGATAAACCTCTGGGGAGGAGGCTGCTTTGTTTGTCCTTTGCTTAAGCCATGCCAGTGCTTTTGTTGTAGGAATTTCTGCTGTTGCAGTGGTGAGGTCCTGCAAGGAGCAAAGTTTTTACAATTTTCCTTCGTGGAGTTCTGGTGAAGTTAGCAGGTGTATCTCCATTTGCAGTGATATTATTTGGGCAGTTTGTTTCTTCCTCCCTTCCTGAAGGATATTACCTGCTCATAATACTTTTCTCCAGTAAATCAAAGCAATGTATTTTCAACTACTTATTTCCTTGTGAGGGAGAGAGAACAGCTTACAAACACCGCTATTTTTTCATTGTAGAATTGGACAACAAGAGCCAGGAATACTTTATGAGAAAAAATAGGCCCTTAAAATTCCCCTCTGTCCCTGGAGGTTTATGTGGTTTCTACAAATACTTTATTTCTTTGCGTTGCTTCAGATGTCTGGCAGTTAAAAGGCAGGGAAGAACCCAGATTAGTGTGAGAGGTTCTCATTAGTTCTTCCATGGAAGGATATTTATACTCTTTCTTACAAACTTTAGTTGGACTCCATGCATAACAGGAGCGGAAAGTTTGGAAGTTTTTAAGTGGTTCCTCAGTGAAGTTTCAAAGGTTCTACTGCCGCCTTTAACCAAATAAATGCTTTGCAGTTTTTGAAAAAACAGCTGTTTGTATCTCTTCACTGTTGTCGTATGATGCTGTTTGAAAATTGTAAGAGATGTCACTCACCAAGTGACTGTTTTTCAGATATTGCTAATGAATTTTATGGGACTGACTCTTATATGTCTGAGTCAGGAATAATTCTGTGAAAGTCCATGAACTAATACCAGTTTAAAATTGTGTATGTGTTAAATCCGTAGAAGTAAATGAAATGTACTATTTAATTATCCACCTGAAATCAGTGTGTAAAAGACGCATCTCAAACTGGTTTATAACTCTCATAGAGTATATTTTAAATCTATAATGTGCATAAAAGGTATCCTAGAGAAAGAAGATTGATTAGGAAATTCTGAAGTGTTAGGGTTATTTCAAAGCAGTGAGCCTTTTTTTTATTTTTCTGTAAGATCCTGAGTACTTAACGATATGCATTTCTGCCAATTGCATCAGATGGGAACCTCACGTCATCTCACATCTTTGTAAAGTTTAACACAGATAAAGCTGTGTAGTTAAAGCCATACTAAGATATGCATCTCCTACCCTTAGGCTCCTTCCAGTCAGCATCGGAGGACACTCATCCTCACTGTTCCATCGTGGACCCAAAGCCCCTTTTCCTGGCTGGCAGTGACACCAGTAGCTGGCAAAGCTCAAACATATTTACTCCTACTTGGCACACCCCTCTCGCCTGGCTTCTTGTACAGCTCTTACTCTGATTGAAACAAACATGATCGCTGAGTTAAGTCTGTGGTATATTTGATTATTTGGCTGCTGCTTCAGAAATGAAGATTGTCACTGATTCACCAAACAAGACAGGTGCTATTTACAGAGCACAGGAGCTGCTCTGCGAACCCAAGTCTGTGCCTGAGCAAGTACCAAGGAAATCCTCTCCTTTGCCCTCCCCAAAACCCAGCTTTGGCTGTACAACTAGGTTCTTAGGTTTGCACTTGAAAGGCAGAGCTGGCAATCTGCTGCACGGCTGGCAAACCGTTTAGTCCTCAACCCTTTTGCTGTTTGCATGCACTTAATTGTTTTTTGCTGGCAGACACACACAGTTCAGCATCAGATTTTGACACACGTATGCTGCTGTCCCGAAGGATTCGCTGAGCGGGCTGTCTTGCAGCTGCTGTATTTTCCACCAGTTAAATTGACAGTTACCTGCTGTGTGGAGTTGCTAGGAGAAGGTGAATAGTCATCATTACAGCATACTCCTTCAATAACAACCTGTAGAGCTCTCTGATTTCTCTTCAGCAGGGATTTATACATCTTCACTACTGACTTAGCATTTGTACAGTCATATTTTTATTGAGAGGCTGGCAGATATTTATTCATTAAGAATCAATTCAGGATCAACTAAAGAGAGGGAAGCTCTGGCATTTGAACGTGCACTCTTTTTGTAGGGTGATGTGGCTGATACTGGCTTCTACCATCTGCTTTCCTATTGCAGCCTGTTTCTCCAACCTGCAGAGCAGAAACCAGCCTTTCTTTCCTTCTGGATTGTTAAAGCCATTCACATTTATCCTGCATGGCAATGAATTATAGTCCATTTTAAGGAATCTTTTGTGCTTCTGTGCGTATTCCTGCAGCAGAAAAAGTGCATGAGAAAGGAGCTTGAGCAGTCAGTAGTATAGTAGCTGGCTCACCCGTATGGATTAGACTCGTGAGGTCAGAGGAGCTGTGTGTACTTGCTCTGTGCTTCGGGGGAAGGGGGGGAGAGTGGATTTGTCTATCAAAGTGAATAGCGATTCAGGCAGGATCATCCCTCAGCTGTTGCAATTGTGATGTGTTTTGATATGACAGCAGCTACTGTCTAACATGGGTGGATCTCCTGACATTTGTAGTGGACTAAAGAATGCTTTTGCTTGCTGCTGAGCCTGACTGTAACTGTATTGCTGTAGGACAATAACGATGGGGGCTCGAGCAACGGAAACAACTCGGGAACTGGAAAGCACCTCTATAAACTATCAAATAGGAGGACATGCGGAGAAAATGTGGCAACGGCTCAAAGGAATGTGAGTAGCTTCTCTCCTTGGCTTTTGTTCTGTTCCTGGGAAAGATCGTTTTCATCTGTTTGTTAAAATGACTAATTAGCAATGGGAGAGTTATCTCTAAGCTGTGAATAGTATTTCCTTTCCTAATACAGTACATTGCTCTCATATATGATGGTACTTAGATTAATGTCAGACTCTGTATAAGGTTCAATCACCTCATTTAAAAGATATATAACTAGTGAGAGTTATTATCCAAATTGAAATGCAGGTAAGTCCTTTCAGGTGAACACTTCCATAGCTCTGACATGATTTTGTAAATGTTATCTTCAGAATCAGCATTGCTGGAGCTATTTCATCATTCCTGTCAGTATATATAGGTAAGTATATTATTGCAGTTCCGTAGGAGGTATCAATACTTTGCCTTTTGAGAGTGCAGATAAAGAAGTCTATGTTAAAAGGAGCTTAGCTATTAGGAGGTTGCTATGTCTCTGTTTTTTGTCAGTTATTTTGGTGCTCAATAATGCTAAAAACTGATTGAAGGACTATTTGAAGGGGCCACTAGGCACCTGCTGTGTCTAATTCACTCCTCTCAAATGCAATTTTCAGTGTAGATTTTTGGTGCAAATGATCAGTAAATAAACATCTGCCACCCGTCAGAGAGAAACTCCATCAAACTAGTGTGTTCTAAAACCCTTAAACTTCAACGTCTCCTTTTAAGTATTTGTTTGGTTTTTGCTCTGAAAGCTGATGTCAGGATGTTACAAATAAATATGTTACAATTGTTGCTTTGGAAGCAAGGAAATTACACTATTATTTTTACTGGAAAGATTGGAAATACTGGGTTTCTAAAGGTATTCCACAGATGCTATATAGTGCCTCAGTTGTTGAAGGAAAACGGGTTACTTAGAGCGCTAAGAGGATTAGATGCATTGGCTATGGCACTGCCTGTTTCCCCTATGCATTGGGTAGAGATTCAAGCTGGCTGTGGGAAAGGGAGTTTCCACCATCTGCTTGCTTTCAAGAGAAAGTTGGTTTGCTTCATTGGAAAGTCACTTTTCAGCTGTGGCCAGGGATTTATCAGAACTTCTCTGTGATATGCTTTTGAATATTTGCTTTGAATCCTATCATCACTGTTTAAGATTATGCACTTTGGGAACCATTTTGCCTCTAGAATCCCCAAAGCAAATATTTTGATCGTTTCCTGATGCCACACATCTTGCCTCTGAGTTTCCGCTACTGGAGACCTCCATCAGTTTGTGCAGACTTCCATTTGTGTAGGGTCTAAGCTACTGTTTTTGTTCATTCTATAAGTTCTCTGTTACCACTAGACTCTTGGGTTGAAACATTTCCTTTCAGCTGCCTCTGGAATGGTTCCATTAAACAAACTAATGTAAATAAATAAACATTAGTGACATACAACAGCTCCAGGAAATAAGGTTCATGCTTCTTTAGGAGTAGTTAAAACAATAGTTGAAGTTTGTGGTGTATCAAAATCAAATGGAGCTGAAGTGTTTGAAAACCACGCATCTTTCGCACGTTGGCGCCAACCTCATGACTGTTGTGACTGCAGGACAAGGTAGTGCTAAAATACTTGTATTTAAAAGAAACAGGTTATATTATTAGATATGTGCTCAGCTGACTATTTTTCAGACTTCCCGATGATTTCATTTTAATTATTCACTAGTCAATTGGAAATCACTGACTAGTCAATATTATGAATATTGTACGGGGAAATTTCAGAGAGTTGAATTTTTCAGAGCAGATCTCTGTGCTCAGTTTGTAGTATAAGCATCAGTCATTAAGGAAAAGGATTCATTTTGCTGATGCACAGGTATCAAAGTAGAAGTATGTTTGTAGGGGAGAGGGGCCAATAAGTGGGACTGCCGCAGATAATCTGACTTGGGAAGAATTCTTTCATAAATTGTCAGTCAGGAGAATTATTTCGTCTTAGAGAGGGGAACTGTTAATGAAACTGGTATGTGTGAAGCAAATTACTGAGTTTTTAAAGGAGTGTACAGTAGTATATCTACCTTGAAGTCAAGACGTGGTGTGAGTTATGAAGCTGAATCTATTCTTGCTGATAGAGTCCACAGGCCTACAGAGTTTTCACCAATGTATACATGTGATTTTGACACAGTTTTACTGTATTTTGCCAGTCGAAAGTGCTGATTATCTTCTTGCAAGCAGGTCATTACTTCTGAAAGAACATTGGATTTCATTTCATTATCTGGATAGTGTTTAAAAGCTACACAATAGGTCCTTACTTAAAAAAAGCTTTTATTTTCTTTTAGCATTTCGGCTTTTCACATAATAGGCATTTAATTATGGATTTAGCTGCAGAATTCCATATACATTGAACCGCATATGACTTGGAGTGTTTTTGTTGTTGGTTTGGTTTTTTTTATTTTTGTAAATGTAGGCTGTTTTAGTTGAGTTGAGTACGCTTAAGGAGAAATGAAAATCCTTATTTGAATGCCTGATGAGAAAACCTGGGTATTATGGAAGCTTGAATGAAAGGGCATTTCTATGGATTTTCTACTCTATAGGCTTGCCTAGACCTCCCTAACCTAATGCTCTCCTTAAGTGCTGCGATAAAAGCTTGGATGGTTTGAACAAAACTAAAACCATACCTACCTTTTACCAGGTCCATGTGACCCTACAGCCAAGCTCTGCCTTCTGCATGGCAAATCAAAATCCAACTCTATTTTCTTTACATTGCAGTCGCAGCAATGCTGCAAAAAAAGAGATTCTCTGGCAGAGAAGAGATTAATTTGAAATTAATAACTTCATCAGCATTGATGCTGAGTTTATTGATGTCTGAGTGTATAAAACATGCTTACTGAAACAGGACTTACTTGTGAAAATGAGTCGTACATTTCTGGCTTGACTTGAGCTTTTGATCTTTGAATTAGGACATTTTCAGTACGCAGACTGTGAGCTTCTAATGTTTTGTACTTCAGGGAGAAAGCAAAAGCAAATAACAAGTGACAACTAAATAACTCGCTTAATAGTGGAGCTTTTATAATTCATTGTTACGCAGAAGAGTAAAAGCAAAAGCCATTTAAGCCACTGCTGAAATTCAAGCTGCCTGACTGAAGGGGAGTGTTGTACACCTGCTTCAGAAGGCATCTCGTCACAGCCTGGCCAGGGGGCTCCTTCTCAGACCGTTCAATGCCACTGATTACACTTTTTCTCCCTTAGCCTTTCATTCTTTATCAGATGGAATCTTACTTTAGACAGTAACTCAGTTAAGTAAGTCTCCAGCTTAAATGTATTCTGGAGTCAATAGGACCAGAAGATTTGCTACCTAGGAGAGTTTCTCTTCAGATGCTGATGGAGCATGGCAGTGAGCTCTGGAAGAGAAGCAGCTTCTTTAAAGCGTTTTGATTCAGAACCCAGATAACCAGATTTAAAGCAGAGCCCTGTATGCTTACTGGCCTTACAGTGTTTGGTATTCTCCTTAATCTGCAAGTAGACTTGACTTAACTCTGTGTTCTTCACTATTCTGTGAAATGGTGTGCTGTCTGTCTATGGTGTACGTTGACTGTCTGCCACTTCACTATGTCACCCACAGAACAGACCCCCCCCCCTTAACTTATTTTGCAAGTAGGCATCTTCTTTGCAAGTAGCTTCTTGTATCCCCACCACTGTTGAACCTAGTATTAGGAGTGCGTTCCATTTCTGAGCTTTGAATTAATTAGTGAGAAAATAACTTGCTTTTCATAGATGTACATATTTGCTAGAACTGTGTCTAAGAGGCCAGAAAATCTCTGAATGGAAAAAGTTAAAATCCAAGGTCCCAAGAGTTTGGGGGATTGGAGTTCACATGCTGTTAGAATAGGCTACTTTACGTAGTTGTTACTGATTTAAAAAGAGAATATGTGTTATTGCCATCACTGTCCTAAAACTAATTTGTGCTAACTTGGATGGCAAAAGGGATTTGAGAAAAAGCATAAGCTTCTTTCCTTACCTTCTTCCCTTTCTTTTCCTCCACATCCAATATAATAGACCCCAATTTCTGCAGCATTTCTGCAGAAAGGAGAGTCTAAACTGTTTTAGGCACTGAAAGGGACTGACTCATAGACCCAGTTTGTTGATCCTGCAGTGCTGCAGTGACAAATGCTTATCATTGCATGCATACCCATTTTGTAGAGGCAAAAAGGGGCCCTACATACTGATTTGAGGAAACTTGGCTTGATATGAAGGGAAGTAGAGAAATGGCTTCCTCCACAGCTGCTGAATTATCAGAAGAGAGAATGCTTTAAAAGGCATCAAGTAGAATCCAGATTAGCAGCCTGTTAGGTCTAAAAGGGACCAGAATGGGTAACTTTAGTTAAGGAACCTCACCCAGTCATTCCTTCACCAGATCCGTGGATACTGGTGGAAGAGCTATAGAACAGTTTCCAGAACCATATACGGACAAAGAGGTCTTTCCTTTGTTTTTCTAAGTTACTTGTTCACATTTTGTTTTATACTGTATTTGGTGTTTGTGTTTGTTTATTGTCTTTTTTTTGTACGCTCAATTTGCCTAAACTATGAAAGTTCAGTAAAGGTTAACTGAAAAGATTATCATTATCAAAACTTAACATTTTGTGATATAAAGGTTTATAAATTTGTAAGTACTGAATAATCAGAGAGAAGAAGAGCTAGAATTACAGGTGGATAACTATGATAAAAAATGGAGAGACAGAAATTGTCACTTGCTGACTATTAACTACATTAGGAACAAATGGATATGGAATTCAAGCAGTTTTTACTTGCCTATTTTTGCTTTTTCCTAATGTGAAAACTTTTCTTTAAAGGAAAATCTTAAGCTCTTGAAAAAATTCAAATGACAGCTATTTCTACAGGGAATTTAAATAAAATTAAAGCTGTTGTTTGTCAAACATGATTTCAGAAATGCTCTGAACAGAAAATTGAAGAAATTATATAATGATTTACCTGTTGATTGATATGTATCCTATTAATGCTATAATTACAGTAAGAATTGTTCCATTATAAATTGTGAATGGCTTCTTTTG